TCCTGCAAAACCAAAACTGAGTGTGTAGACCACCTCGGCCTCCCCCCACTCCAACATAAATCATACCAACAAACTTCAGGTCTAGAACTTCTATATACCTCCCAAGCTGCTTTAAAACAAAAATTGGACTGCCATGTAAGTTGATCTTCTCCTCCGAAAATCCTTTGATTGTGAAATACTTGTCTCAGTTTTTGTGAGGTGTTACTCAACTGCTCTTCATCCCATTGTCCATCAATAATATAATCACTCAATGTACTCTGTTTATTCCTGCTGAGTTCTTGTGACTTCAATGGGTATTGTAAATCCGTATTTCTATGATTTCTTATGCGTTTGGACATGATTCATTCTATATAAGGTTCATGGTAGCCCTTTTGTTCACTTCACATTCATAGCAGTTCATTTCAATTTTCACAGCTTGTAGGACCATTTCGGTCGACTGAAATTGATTTTTCCTATGGCCTCACCAAAAATTTTGCTCACAACTGGCCGACCGGTTTAGGAGTCATTTCGGTCGACTGAAGCTCCATTTCGGTCGACCGGTTTGCTACTAACTTGTGCATCTTGTTCCCTCTTTTGGTATAAATAATCCTGAGTATTGGGAGGTTGCTTAGAGTCTTCATGGAACATGATTAAGATGTAATAATGATGAGTAACACTAGGCTTGACGGTATTGACTTAGGTAACTTCAGGTTCGGATAAGGACCCGGTTAGCGGTTTACACCTACGGGTCTGGGTAGTTACAAAAACTGTTTTTTCCTTCAAATTCTAAATTATACAAAGCCAAATAAAATCATGATGGTATAATTATAGAACTCTGTATACTTTTATATTTTGGAATTCAATCAATTATCTGAACTTTAGATATAATTTATGTACGTGTATGTATTTTTATGGGAATATATATATATATATATATATATATATATTATTTATTCTTTGAAACTGGAATATGTGAATTATATATATATATATATATATATATATATATATATATATATATATATGACGATTGTATTAGAAGTGCATATATATGTTATGCGGTAGATATTATGTGTATATCTTTTTACTACCAAGGAAATATTCACAGTAAAGCTTTTAAGTGTATGTAGTTAGATATTTGTTTTTAGTCTGGAGTTGTAACGTGGGATTGATGGTCTTTGGCTTTGGATCAATTGAGATAGATAGTTAGGTGTTTGGTATAATTTTGGATTTCCATGGTTGAGTGTTGTATTTTCTCATGATTAAGTATGGGACCAAGGCTAAGGCTAAGGAGTTGTAGTTTGGATGAATTTTAATTCTTAGATCAACGAGATCAGTGTTACTTACTCGAGTGCTTACACGTACTGTAGTAATTAGGCCAAGAATTAATCCTACTTGATTAATCCTTTTAGGTATATTTTTTTTACAATTATATGTTATTATATAGATATCAGAGTTTAGATTTTGTCATGGACTAGTTGTGGACTTAGAGAGTAAAAAAGAAGTTACATATTACCGTACTCTCGTTAATAGGGATGAGTGGTCTTGATTAATACTATTAAATGTTAAAGTCATTTAATAAAGAGTATTTAATGATTGATTAATACATATTACAGTTAGGCATGGTTAGGGACCAGCCTTATCCGAGTGCACTACTTTGTGTTATGGCCATGGGTCTAATGAGCCCTTATTGTGTGGACGTGATCAGGAATCATCTGGGGAGTAGACGTACAATCCAGCCACACGTGTATTTTCGGTAGTCAGGGACTATGTGGTTCACACCACTTATTGGAGAGGAGCCAGGGGCTCATGTGAGATGATGACAATAAAACAGCCAACTAGTTGAGGGGAGCGGGGCTCATGTGAGGTAGGTTAAATTTAGTAAATTAAATATTGAGATGATTAATAGATTTATAGTGTGAATTCGAGATTCTGATTATCTTGTGACACAGTGGTATTGAGATATAATATTTATGAGGAAATAATTATTGGATGGGAATGAAATTATAGTAATATAGTTGTACCAAATGTGATAGTAGTTATAGTGACTATTAGATATTAATATTTATGTACTTCGGCAATATTAGTACCTAGTAGGTGATTTGGTGAACGTGATTAATGTATATTTTATGGGTTGCATTTAAGTATGGGAATACAAGGTATGGGTTAACTTGCTGAACGATGATAGTGTTTAGCAATTTCTTACTGAGCTTGTGAGCTCACCCCTTTATTACTTTCAGGTGCACATGGATTTATCTTGCAAAGGAGGCTCAAAGGGAGATGGAGATTTTTCGGATTTCCACTTATTGATTTTATTATTGTTTCTTAGCAAACACTTTGTAATAAGTTTCACTTAGTTGGTGGAATTTTAATTAGTTGGAGATGTAATAGATTTCCTTTAGATTGATGGCTTTTTAAATAAAATGTTTTCTTATTGATTTAATCATGAATTTTGATGTATGTATGATGTGAGTCACGTACAAGATTTTAATATAAGACAAGGGCTTTTGTGTTAGAATTTTTGGAGCGTGACAATTATTATTATTATTGTTATTATTATTTATAAAAAGTAGTAGTTGAAAAAGAATCCGCGTTTATAGGCATGTCTGGTTCTTGGTAATTTCAGGCCACTATTCCATGTATGTATATGTGCGTGTATAGGTCTTTCATGAAGATTTAAGACGTGTCAAACATTATGCAAGTTACATTAATGATTAAACTGCTAAAAGTGTTTATAATTTTTTTATAACCAGAAAGCTAACTGCTAGGTTTTGAAGGAACTAATTAAGGGTCTTTTTGCATTTACATCTTAAAACCCTAGGCCGGCTGAGTGTCCACAAAGGCCTAATGGCTTGGAACTGCGCCAAGCCCAAACTGGCACATGAATTGGCACCAATTCTTCAAACTTTATAATTGATCAAAAAATTAATGGTCCGTGTGATCTAAAACAAATTAATAATTTAATTTTTTTGATAATTAAAAGCAAGTTAAGTAACTCAATCATGGTACAAGGCACTATTGTCTCCAAGGACATCTCAGTGTTAGTAGAGATTTAGGAAGTAAGTTTTTGAAGTTTGATTTTCAAATTTTAGTAAGTAAGTTCTTGAAATCTGATTTTCGAGATTTAGCTGTAGCATGTGATTGCACTAAGGAGAGGAAGGAGGAAAGCTTACCCCCTCTTGTGTTATCTTGAGCCCATCCCCTTGCTCAGCACTTCAGCAGACGGGAAAGGGTAATAAAAACGTGTTGTTCGAATAGAGTCGCTTTATCCATTTCTTTCTGTTGTCTTGGTGGAACCTACCTGCAAGAAAAAGAATCTATTGAGTACCCAACCACCTGATCAGTCGATCCGGAAATGAACTACATTTTTTTAATTTCTAGTAGTAAGATTGTGGAAGACCAAATCTACTAAATTATATATATATATATTTTTAATCCTCACACTTAATTAAATCGCAGTATAATTTATCCAACTTTCCTCAATATAAATCTATCCGCCCATTAAGAGCTTGCAGTGAAAACCTTGGACAGGGTAAACTCATAAAGTGTTCCAGAAAAACATTTCACAATATCTAGTATTATTTTTTTATTTCTTAAAATTATTTACTGTATTTAAAAAACACTTGGTTATCAAACTGTTGACTTTGCAATACCCATTCCTTACAAAAATATTATTGGTTATCCATGCGACCACAATGTGACTACAACAATTGCTTCTATTAAATGTAATCCTAAATTATTTAATTAATTAACACAGCTATCATTGCTGTAGGTTACTATTACGTAATAGTTGTTTTAATAGTTAGCTTGACACTTGCAAGAATAATGATGATTGATGATACGGACTCTACAATTTAACACGGACTCTAATAGACACAAGAGTCAGGGAGTTGGATAAGCTACAATTAATAAAGTGATATGGATAAAGAGTAATTCTCTAATCCGTATTGAACAAGAAAGGAGAAATTAATTCCCTTGTTGAATATTACAACCTACCCTATAAAAAAGGGTAATCAGCCAATTCAAAAGGTACGCCAAAGATTCCTAACAAAGTCCATTCATTTTTCTGGTCCGGTACTAACTTGACCATCGGAGATTCTTAGGCCGGTACTGCACCAGTGCCTTTCCGATAACTTTTTCTCTTCTCCGCAGGTTACGACGTCGTTCTGGGTCGTGACAGAATCTTACATCATCAGTTGGCGCTGCCTGTGGGAATGCGAATATTAGTTTCTTGAAAAACAATGGTTCAGTTGCAATCCGGAGTTTAACTCGGAGAAGGAAGCCAGCGCCCCTCGCGCCTTAACGGTGGAAGCCATCATCAACAACATGACGGCAGAAGTCGATCACAGCGTGGTGATAGCAGCTACCATCAACAGCGTCAAGGCGCCAATCAATCATAGCATGGTGATAGCAGCCACCATCCCCATCAACAGCGTCAAGGCGCAAATCCATCACAACATGGTGATGACGGTAGTCGTCAACCACATGACGATGAGAGCCAGTCGCGTTACAACGATGGTCATCAATCACATTATGATGACAATCAACCTCATCACAGGAATGACAGACCTCACGCTAGTCAGTCTCGCGCCAGTGAAGATCAGTTCGAGCATGTATCCCGTCAAGGGATTGCCTCCAGGCGTGTTCTAAGCATTGGGAAGATTATCGCGTTGGAACAATAAGTTCAGAACCTTACTCAAGGTATGAATCAATTGGTCCAGCAAAACACGGCAATCATGCAACACTTAGCCATCCCTGCAGTACCCTCTGAAGGTAACGATGACAACGATGGAGTAGACTATAGTTAAGCGGGATGTCGACAGAGAGACCTGCGCACTTCCACGCCTCGTTCCAGAGATATGTCTGATGCTGGAGAACGCACTGAAGCAATTTACGTCGATCAGCAGATGCAGGATCTTAAATTGAAAGTGGAAGGAATGGCCCAAGCCCTAAAATGAAAGGGTTCCGCCACAGTTGATGACCTTATTCAAAAGACGAATTTACCTTTTAATCCTCATATCATGGCTCTCCCATTGCCAACAAAATTCAAGATGCCTCAACTTGATAGTTTTGATGGAACGCGTGACCCCCTCGACCACTTAGAAACTTTCAAGTCCTTCATGAACTTGCAGGCTATTATGGATGAGATCATGTGCAGGGCTTTCCCCACAACACTCAAAGGGTCAGCCTGGGTTTGGTTTAATAAATTGAAGCCAGGATCTATCAACGACTTTGATGAACTCATTAAGCAGTTCATAAGGCATTTTATTACAGGGATGAGACATCGAAATCCAGCTACTTATCTGTTGAATGTTAAGCAAGACAAAGGGGAGTCATTACATGATTATATTGGGCGTTTTAATACGGAGATGTTGCAGGTTGACGATGTGGATGATAAGGTTACCCTTACAGCCTTTATGGGAGGGTTACAATCCTCCAAGTTCTTATTTTCCTTGTCAAAAGACCCACCAAACAGCATGGTAGAGTTATTAATAAAGGCCCAGAAATATATGAATACTGAAGATGCCATGAATTCAAGAAAAGGCAAAAGAGTCCACGATAAGAAAGGAGATAAGAAAAGGTCAGCCGCTAGCTCCAAAGACGAGAGAGACACCAAGTTTAAAAAGCCTACCAATGATAGGCCCCCTAGAGTACCCAGGGGCAAGAAAGCTACACTAACTTCACTCCCTTGAACACCCCGATCAGCCAAATCCTCCTGCAGATCCAAGATGACCACTCCTTAAAATGGCCCCTAAAGTTGAAGTTAGATCCAACGAGAAGATCTAGGGATAAGTATTGCCGGTTCTATAGAGACCATGGGCATAATACCGATGATTGCTTCGACTTGAAGAACAAGATAGAAAGCCTAATTCGACGGGGGCAGTTGCATAGATATGTTACAGAACGTGAAAAAGGTGCAACTCAACCTACCCGTGAGAATAGAAAGAACAACCCTCCTGGCCGCCCGTTGGGAGAAATAAAGGTGATTATGGGAGGATTTGCTTGTGGGGGAGAATTAAGCTTGGCACGAAAAGCCCATATCAGAAGAGTCCGGAGCTCGGCAAGAGTGAATGAAGTTAAAATTCATGAACCCCCGCCGAAGTCTCCTAGAGTGGAGGGCCAGGACATTACCTTTTAAGAAGAAGATGCTAAGGGAATCCAGCAGCCACATGACGATCCTTTGGTAGTGACAATGGTCATGGCCAATTACGCAATCCATCGTGTGCTAATCGACAATGGTAGTTTTGCCGACTTGTTATTTATTGATGCATTTGACAAGATGTGTATTGGCAAGGAAAGGTTAAGGCCAACGAAGTCCCCCCTTGTTGGTTTTTCTGGAGAAAATGTTTTCCCTTTAGGTGTAGTCACACTTTCGTTGACAGCTGGGACTAGTCCGAAACAAATAACCGTGATGGTAGATTTTCTGGTAGTAGACTGTCCATCTACGTATAATATAATCCTAGGGAGAATAACTTTGAATGTAATGAGAGCCGTCACTTCAACATACCACCTATTGATACGGTTTTCTATAAAGCAAGGCATTGGTGAGTTAAGAGGTGACCAAGCCACAGCAAGGGAGTGTCATGCCGCTGCTTTAAGAACAAAAAAGTTGCAGGAAGCATTGGCCATTGAGAAACCAGAAGGGTTAACTGAGAAGGAACTCAATCAAAGGGCGGAACCAGTGGAGGACCTCGTAGAGATCGACTTGGATAAAGAAAAAGCTGGAAGAAAGATGTGTTTGCATAGGCACATGACAACATGCCTAGCATCGACCCCTCCATTGTGCAGCATCGGCTCAATGTGGATCCATCTTTCAAACCGGTCAGACAAAAAAGGCGAGTGTTTGCTCCAGAGAGGAACCTTGCTATATTAGAGGAGGTTGAGATACTCCTGAAGGCTGACTTTATCCGGGAGGTACAGTACCCCCATTGGCTGTCAATGTGGTCCTGGTCGAAAAGGTAAATGGCAAGTGGAGGCTTTGTGTTGATTTTACAGATCTAACTAAGGCTTACCCAAAGGATAGTTTTCCTTTACCAAGGATCGATATGTTGGTTGAAGGAATAGCAGGACATGAGTTACTTAGCTTTATGGATGCTTACTCCTAATACAACTAGATCCTAATATATGTATGCTCCTGATAATGAAAAAACTTCTTTTATTACTGACAGAGGTCTATATTGCTATAAGGTAATGCCATTCGGGTTGAAGAATACGGGTGCCACCTATCAGAGACTAGTCAACACAATGTTCAAGCAACAAATATGGAGAAACATGGAAGTGTATGTGGATGACATATTGGTAAAAAGACTAAAGGCCGAAGACCACTTAGCTAATTTACAGGAGTCTTTTGATGTGCTTAGGGCCCATAATATGCGATTGAATCCAAGCAAGTGCGCCTTTGGAGTATTCTCGGGAAAATTTCTGGGGTATATGGTAAGCCAAAGGGGAATCGAGGCAAACCCTGAAAAGATTTGGGCAATACTGGATTTGAGATCACCTAGATCAACTAAAGAAGTTCAGAGGCTAGCAGGAAAGGTCATAGCTTTGAACAGGTTAATTTCTCGAGCCATTGACAAATGCCTTCCTTTCTTTAAGATACTAAAGAAAGCCTTCGAGTGGACCCCGAAGTGCGAGCAAGCATTCATTGGGCTCAAAAACTATCTCAGCTTACCGCCATTATTGTCTCGAGCAATTTCTGGAGAAAGTTTGTACCTTTACCTAGCAGTTTCCCCCGTAGCGGTAAGCTCAGCATTGGTCAGGGAAGAGAACGGTATTCAAAAGCCGGTATATTATACTAGCCGAGTACTTTGGGCAGTAGAGGAAGGGTACCCGGCGACAGAGAAACTAGCGTTCGCACTAGTTGTGGCAGCAATGAAACTCAGACCATACTTCCAGGCATACACCATAATGGTGCTGACAGACCAACCACTAAGGCAGGTCCTCTACAAGCTAGAGACATCAGGACGCTTCACGAAGTGGTCAATAGAACTTGGTGAGTTCGACATCCAATACAAGTCGAGGGTAGCAATAAAAGGCCAAACACTAGCTGATTTTGTGGTTAAGTTTTCTTCCTCTCTAAAAGAGGATGGGGTCATAGCCCCAGCTAAAACTAAAAATCAGATGCACTCAGACGATACTTGGTCACTTTATGTTGGCGGGTCATCCAACACCCGAGCTTGTGGGGCAGGATTAGTGATTATATCACCAGAGGGAGAGAATCTGAAATATGCACTCCGATTTGGTTTCAGAGCTACCAATAATGAGGCAGAGTACGAGGCTTTGATAGCAGGATTAAAGTTAGTAGAAGCTCTCAGAATGCAACAATTGAAGGTGTTTACTGATTATCAGTTGATTGCAGGGCAAGTTTGTGAAGAGTATGAAGCCAAAGATGACAAGATGAAATTGTACTTGCAAAAGGTAAGGGGCCAAATTAGTCATTTCAAAAAGTTTACAATCAAACACATACCTAGAATTGAGAACGAGAATGCAGATGCTAGCTACAACGGTAGAGCTTGAGAGTACTAAGGCCATACCACTTGAGTACTTAGAAGAACCTAGTATATTTAAAAAGCACAAAGAAGTCAACCAGTTGGCACTAGGGTTAGAGTGGGCAGACTCAATAATTAAGTACCTCAAGGATGGGGAGCTGCCACAAAACCCGATGGAAGCTCGGAAGGTAAGGATCCGAGCGCCCAGATATACGCTTGTTAATGGAGTTCTCTATAAGAGGGGTTTTTCTTTGCCTTTTCTACATTGTGTCTCAGCGGAGGAAGCTCGTTATATCATGAAAGAGATACACGAGGGCATTTGCGAAAATCATGCAGGGGGCAGATCTTTAGCTTACAAAGCAGTTCGTTAAGGCTATTATTGGCCCACCATGTAGATGTAGAGAGATGCACTGGAATTTGTAAAGAAATGTGATAAATGTCAACGATTTGCCAATGTCCCTAGACAACCGCTAGAGGAGTTAGTGCCGATGTTAAGTCCATAGCCCTTTGTTCAATGGGGAATAGACCTGATTGGTCAACTGACTACAGGGAAAGGGCAAACCAAGTATGCTGTTGTGGCAATCGACTATTTCACCAAGTGGGTAGAAGCTCAACCCTTGGTTACCATCATGGCAAATAACATCAAAGACTTTACTTGGAAGTCTATAGTATGCAAGTTTGGAGTTCCCCATGTCATTGTGTGAGACAACAGGAAGCAGTTCGACTGTGCTATCTTCAAAAATTTTTATTCCCAGTTAGGAATAAAAAATCATTACTTATCACCAGGGCATCCGCAAGCGAATGGGCAAGCGGAAGTGGCCAATAAAACAATACTCAGTTTAATTAAAAAACGACTTAAGAAGGCAAAATGGGGGTGGCCGGAGGAGCTTCCCGGGGTGTTGTGGGCTTATAGAACTGCAACAAAAACCACAACAGGTGAAACTCCATTTCTCCAAGCCTTTGGGAGCGAAGCTGTAATTCTAGTGGAAACTGGTGTAACAAGTTTCAGAACCAAACACTATGACCCACTCCAGAATGAAAGAGAACTGGCTGTCAGCTTAGACTTAATTGAAGCGAAAAGGGAACAAGCCCAAATCAAAGTTGCAGCCTATCAACAAGTGATGTCTCGATATTATAACTCCCGTGTAAAAGAAAGAAGGTTCCAACCCGGAGACCTTGTCCTACGTAAGGTAACTCAGGCAACTAAGGAACCTAACGAAGGTAAACTTGCCCCTAATTGGGAAGGCCCTTATAGGGTTGTTCGTACAAGAAGACAAGCACTTATTGGCTAGAGACATTGGGAGGAAGGCAACTTGACCACCCTTGGAATGCAGAGCATCTGAGGAAGTACCATCAGTAAAGATATGATTCAATATTAATGTCAGTTTTTAATTCTAGTGATGTTTATTGTTAGTTTCGTATCGATATTCTCGACTTAAGACTTTTATTTTCAATAAGCCGTAAGGCAGATGATAGTTTTTAATAAAATTCATTTTAGTTACATCAAAGATCTTCATTTTTATTTTTAACGTCCCCATATTACAAGGGATGATAAAAAGTCCCTGTATTACAAGGGATAATAAAAAGTGTCATGTATCACAAGGACCCGAGCTGAATGAATCCCGTAATCAACGTCCCTGTATTACAAGGGATGATAAAAAGTTTCCTGTATTACAAGGATCCGGGCTAAATGAATCCCGTAATCAACGTCCCCGTATTATAAGGGATGATAAAAAGTGTCCTGTATTATAAGGACCCGGACTAAATGAATCCTATAGTCAACGTCCCGTATTATAAGGAACGATACAATTGTCTTGTATTATAAGGACTCGTGAATGAATCCCGTACTCAACATTCCCGTAGGGATATTGATAAGTGCTCTGCACTATAAAGGCCAGCTTAAATAAAACCTAAAGCCAATATCACATATGATATGGAATCTTAATAAAGTGTTCTACATTACAACGTACAAAATAGGTTTTAAAATAGGATAAAAGCTTAAACCCCGTGTAATGGGAATTTGATATAATGTTTGAAACGACAGTATTCGACAATACAGCAACAAAACCATTGGTCCTATATAAAGGGTGGAGCCTAAAACATAAAGCTACTCTTCGTCCTCATCCTCCTCATCTGCACCTATGGTGTCCTATGGGGAAGTAGCCGGGAAAGCCTTAAAGATATCGAAATTCTTGTCTAGATATTCTTCACGAGCAAGGGATTGGAAATGCTTAAAGCCGCTGTTGAAGTTATTCCATAGAGTCTTTGAACCTTGCAACAGCACGTCCTCCCCTAACTGTAAGTTTGGTGGACATTTCGGTGTTAAGTTCTACCACACGCAAGTCAAGACTTGTCTGTGCTTCTTTCAATTTTTGAGTTAGGTTTTTCTCGGTATCTTCTACTCGAGCTCGGAGCCCTCTCTCTCTTAATGTTTCAGCTAAGCTTTGTGCATTTGCTGAATTAAACGAATGAATCTCAGAGGTGTGGTGAGCTTTTGCTCTTTCCAGTATCGCTTCAGCGGTAATAGCTCGGTGCGCAACATTCATAAACTTGGAAGCGCACTATAATAGTATGCAAGAGAGAGTGAGATTGTAATATGAAAGATAAAGTTATATAAGACATATATAAAGTACTCACTCAACCCAATTCATCCATTCCATGTTGCAAGACAATTGGAATTTAGAAAACATCTAGAGTATGCAGGTCTTCAGGCAACACAAACTGGTTCATCCTATCTGCAGCGAAACCAGGATCTCTAAGGATGGACATTGGGGCCGTAGGGCAAGATTGTGATGCTACCGGATTAAATTATACCATTGGAAAGGTCGGTTATGCATCTACAAAAGTTGTTTGGCACCCAGACGGTTGTGCATCTACAAAAGTCTTTTGGCTCCCTAACGGTTGTTCATTTGCAAAATTTATCTGGCTTCTGGATAGACCTCCTTGGGCAAGAAGAGACTGAAAGGGGTTGCAAAAAGGATTTCCCCCTGTCATCATTTGAAACAGTGTTTGCGTAGGAACCCCAGAAGGAAAGGCAGGAATAGTCGGTTCAGGTTCCATCTGCAATGAAGAAGCTTCAACGATGACCCTTTGTCCCGTGTTATTTCCTCCTGCTACTAGGTGATGACAAAGGGCTAACACCCTGGCTAAGTGACGCTGGCATGCCTACAAGATGAAGGAGTGTTGAGAGAATAAGTTATGTAAAACATATATGCCAATCGTGGAAAAAATTACCTCAACATGGTGGTGGAATGCTATGATTTATGGATGCGAGAAGCGCAAGGGTCTCAGAATTAACCACTTAGCTCCAACTTCTGCTATAGTGGTTGAGGACCTTATTCACACAGGCATTCTCAACATCGTTAAGGGTGTCCTTATCTTTCAACACTGCCAATGAAATATAAACAAGCCAATAACGGGCTAATAAGAATAAGGAGTTGTTATAAAAGCAAACAGAGTTAGCTTACTAGTGAAGTCAATTTTGCCCCATTTGCGCTGCATCCTCAACTGTTTTCCTTCTTCACTGGCGTCTAGGTAAAATTCCCGCCCGTTGCCTGACATAAAGAAAAATCTCAACTGCCAGTCTCTTTCATACTGCGGAAAATCAAGGAGCAGAG